ATTTGCGATAAAGGAACACTCAAAGATAGCACTAGCCCCCAGTTATAGCCCCCTCAAATAGCAAATAGCCTTCGCTAAACTCTAACTCTTTCAGTCATAGACCTTACTTCAATTGCCAGAAAATATTTGAAAGACTCTTCTAATTAGTTCGCTTCAATTTTGTTGATACGTGTGGCCTCTGATCACTCTTGCCTCCTGTTAGTTCCGCTGACAGAGCTCCATTATTACTGCGTTTCGACGTTTCACTTTGGCGCTTCGTCCGTTGACCTCATCCTACTCATTGCTTTCACAGTATGATGCTACTTGAACCCGGTTACCTGTGCGCCTACGATTTTCCGTTGGTTCATTTCTCAAGGCAGAAGAAAATCGTGACCAGTGAAGTTTTAGACCAATATGCTGTGGACAGTCCATCCACCAGTCGAGGTGATTTGGTTTTTCGTTTCAGATAATTTTATTAAGAAAATCATAAATTATTATACTCATTTATTTATTTATCTAAGTATTTATTTATTATTTGCTTGTTTGTCTATTTCTTTTACTTGTTTATTTGTTTATTTATGTGTATGTTATGTTTGCTTACGTGAAATAAATCGCTGGCAAGTCCTCTCAATCATTTTAGAAGTCCTTTATTCACGACAGCTACATATATTAATATATTTTCTGTTGCTCTTCTAACATTTTCCATACTTCGATTTCCCATTCATGCTAAGTTTGACCGTGAAATTTACGGGCAATCATTACACACCAGCCAACGTCGAACATCTCGGGTCAATATTTGAATGACCTTCTAGTCGGCCATTTTTAAATACTATAGGGGCGTTCACTGAAGCTCCTCAAATTTTAATTTTGAGTCTCTAAAAGCTCCCAAAGGTTGAGGAGGAAGAGCATTTGTCTGGGAACAAGCGATAGTTTTGATGGTGGGTTATATGTTGCAAAGATGAAACCTGGGAATAATATGATTTTCTTCATTTTCTTTTCCTTATTCATTAGCCAGTTTCATTACCATAATTGCATTTTCAACCATTTTACTTATTTTTCTATTCCCAAATATTACTTATTTCTACGCAAATCCGGCGAGGTATGAAAGCTTTATATGAAATTTTTTATGATTTCTGCTTCTTTCAAAGCTCAATAGCCCAAAAGCTCATCATGAGTTGGGCTGATGCATCAATTACGTATCTCAATAAAACTGGTTGAGGGTATCAACCCGACTATGACGTTTCTGTTCTTTCTTCTTCTTCCTATTCTGATGTTTGGATCACTGTTAATGCTTTTCCGTTCAAGCTTGGTTTCGCCGTCCCGAAGAGAATACGCTCAATGACTCTCCCGCTCAGTCATGGTCAGCGGCGATTCAAGCGGCGTTGATGCCGGTCACACCACAGTCATCAATAGGTGGTCAGAAGCGAGCAAAACGACATGGCCAAACTCAAAGTGCCCAACGAAGGTTAGCCAATTCGGAATTTTTGTTCTGATCTCAAGGACTGCTAACCAAAAACCAGTTTTGTACGAGTAGTTGTTTATGATGAAAATATATTGGAAACTACTATTGTAGAACTTCAGCCAAACCGTTTTTTCTATTACCTCGAGCACCAATGTAAAACGGGTTTTGTAAAATGGACGCAAAATTGCCGTCTCGTGTTTTCCCCCGAAAACATTTGAAATTTCAATCTATTCACTCTTGATTCCACATATGGCAATTATTTCACTGCGTTGTTTCACACTCACTCGACACTGGGCTTCTCGACCACATCATATCTGGTGCTTAAAAGTATAGGTGGAAAAGGCCCTTCACCTGTCTTGAAGCTTTTCACCTAAATAGAGCGAGTTATGTTCTTGGTGTGATATACGATAGAAATGTGGTGACAGATCGATTTTCGAGGACAATAGTGCAATTCCTGAGTTACTTATGTGATTTTATGCGCATTCGTTCTTGTATAGGAAGATTTCAAGTATATTTCATCAACTGATGTGCTTACAAGCGCGCATGAGTGGTAAGAAATCAAGAGAAGCATTTTTACCTAGGTTGTGCACTAATGAGTGAGACGTTTCCCATCACAGAGTACCAGTATCACCTGGGTAGCTTTACTGACGTGGGAAGCCTGCACTCAATGGTCGCTAATGATCAGGTGCAGAAAGCCAAACGAGTCTTACCGAACTCGTTTGTAATTGAACACCTCGCGACACCCAGATGAAAACCTGCGTGGTCAACGATCCATATCTGTACTTATCAAATTAAGATTGACTGTTTTTTGTTCCGAACTGGTTTGTATATGTATGTAGTAGAATACCGAACCTGCTGTTAAGTAGGTACATAGGGCATGCGGATGCATCAGCCTTGCTAGAGAAACTGGTATAATTGGAAAACTGTATTTTGAGACTTGTTTTTGTTTGTTAACTGCTGTTTTTGGCCGCAGTTCGCCTTGCGAATGTTTCACAAGAATGCTGGGTTGTGAACAAAACTTTCGCCCCAGGCGGGACAGGGTCAACACCTACGTTGTTACTAGTAACAACGGGGGGGGTCGTACCTGGTTGAGTTTGTAGGAGGGGGGTCGTATAGGTTGGGAGTTGGGAGCGCGCGGGAGAAAAATCCCCCCCCCCCTTAGAAGATGAAGCAGTGGGAAGATGGGTAAAAGTGGTAAAAGGAAGAGTAAAATGGTGGAAATTTAGGGAGTTTAGGTAAATTTTTACTGTTTCAGAGTAGCTATATACCCCCCCCCGCTCGACGGCATTTTTGGAGGAAAAAGTGGGCGGAGTTTGGTGGGTTGAGTGGTATCAGAATTAAATACTATAGAGAGGATGATGGTGGTCGAGGTGTCGAAAAGGGGGTCGTATCAAATCCACCTTGGGGGAGGGGGGTCGTAAAAATTTTTCAAAAAGTAACAACGATAGGACCGACCCTGGTTCTAGTCCCGCCTGGAGCGAAAGTTTTGTTCACAACCCAGCATTCTTGTAAAATGTATTCTGAGAATTTTCAAGTTGTCTTTCTTCAAAAATTGTTGGGAGTTGAAGGTTTCGAATTCAACCTCATAAGGACAAGTCAGAGGTGAGCTGGTGGTTAAAGCCAAGAAACTCCAAAAG